AGTTTTCTGATAAATTCTTCATTTATTTTCAGATTATTTCCCATCTTTCTAGAAGTTTCCTAATATTCTATTCAGAGATTCTAATAAGTCTTATCTAAATATCATTTATGATACTTTTCATTTTTTGTAGTTTTCTCATTCAGCATCAATATTCACTCTCCTGTGGTTTTCTGCTTTTCTGGTAACTAGCTGTACCACTTTAAGCTCATATGAGGGTGTCACTAAAGTCACTGAGAATTTACTGAGTTACTTGGTTCTGACTGAACCTTCTATATTAGTTTAACTCATTGAGCTTGATGGGCTTCTATGTGTCTTCCTTATTGAGTTTACTGTGGTCCTATTTTGTTGTTGTTTTTATTTTTTTTACAATGTTGTTCACATTAATTGATTACATTCAACATTTCAACACCAATCCCACCACCATTATACCTTCCCACCACCTTTATTTAGAATTTTCCCACCACTGTTCAAGCCTGCCTGCCATAGGCAGATGCTAGATAATTTATTTTCTATTGCTTATTGGGCTGGGGCGATAGCACAGTGGGTAGGGCATTTGCCTTGCATGCAGCAGACCGGTTTGACCCAGGTTCGATCCTCCACTCCTCTCAGAGAGCCCAGCAAGCTACCAAGAGTATTTCTCCCACACGTCAAAGCCTGGCAAGCTACCTGGGACGCAATTGATATGCCAAACACAGTAACAAGTGTCACAATGGAGATGTTACTGGGCCCACTCGAGCAAATCGATGAACAATGGGAGGGCAGTGACAGTGATGACTTATTAGAATATCATGAGAGAATATCATAATATTCTCAAATATCACAATTATCTCACTATTATCAAATAATAGCACTATAGCACTATCCTCCCATTGTTCATCAAATTGCTGGAGTGGGCCCAGTAATGTCTCCATTGTGACACTTGTACTGTGTTTGACATATCGAATATATCATGGGTAGCTTGACAGGCTCTGCCATGTGGGTGAAATACTCTCGGTAGCTTGCTGGGCTCTCCGAGAGAGGTGGAGGAATTGAACCTGGCTCAGCCGGGCTGGCTGCACGCAAGGCAAACACCCTACCACTGTGCTATCGCTCCACCCTATCAAGTAATAAGGATTATATATTTTAAGGATCTCATTTGATCACAAGAATTAAATATCAAAAATCTCACTACCATCCCTCTCTCTTTCTCTTTCTCTCTCTCTTTCTCTCCTTTTGAGCATTGTGGTTTACAATATTGATACTGAAAAGTAATCAAGAATATGTCTTACCTACTTTTAATCCTCAGATCTTGTCCAGTGTGATCATTCCCAGATATTATTTCATAGTAGTCTCTTCTCTATTTTACCCATCTTCAGCCTCACACACACTTGTGGTTAGTTCCAACCCTTCACCAGTACTCCTAACCCTGTTTACCCTGGTCATGGATATTATTCTTTTACTATATATATCTCTCTCTCTATATATATCTATATATCAGAATAATATATATATTATTCTTCTATATATATACGCACAACAAATGCAGTTGTTCTATATTTTCCCCTTTCCTTCTGACTCATTTCACTCAGCATGATATTTTCCATGTTCATCCATTTATAGGCAAATTTCATGACTTCATTTTTCCTGACAGCTGCATAGTATTCCATTGTGTAGATGTGCCATACTTTCTTTATCCATTCATCTGTTCTTTGGCACTCAGGTTGTTTCCAGATTCTGGATATGGTGAATGGTGCTGCAATGAACATAGGGGTGCAGATGGTGTTTCTGCTGTGTGCTTTTGGGCCCCCAGGGTATATTCCCAGAAGTGGCATTGCTGGGTCAAATAGGAGCTTAATATATAGTTTTTTTTTTTCTCTGAGAAATGTCCATATAGTTTTCCAAAAAGGCTGGGCCGGTCAGCATTTACACCAACAGTGAAGGAGAGTCCCTTTCTCCCCACATCCATGCCAACCCTGTTGCTTTTGTTCTTTTAGATGTGTGCCAGTCTCTGTGGTATGAAATGATATCTCATTGTTGTTCTGATCTGCATCTCTCTGATGATTAGTGATGAATAACATTTTTTTTCATGTGCCCTTTGGCCATTCAAATTTCTTCTTTGAGAAAGTTTCTATTCATTTCATCACCCACATTTTCTGACGGGATTGGATGTTTTCTTCTTATAGAGTCCAACCAGTGCCTTGTATATCCTTGATATTCACCTTCTATCTGAAGGGTATTGGGTGAATATCCTTTCCCATTCTGTAGTCTGTTGCATTCTTGTCACTGTTTCTTTTGAGGAGCAGAAGCTTCTTAGTTTAAATAGTTCCATTTGTTTATCTCTACTTCCACTTTCTTGGTCAGTGGCAATTCATCTTTGAAGATACCTTTAGCTTCAATGTTGTTGAGGATTTGGGCAACCGTTTCTTTCAATGTACCTCATGGATTCTGGTCTAATGTTGAGGTCTTTAATACATTTTTATCTGACTTTTGATAGGTAGAGGTCTGAGCCCATTGTTTTGCAAGGAGCTGCCCAGTTTTGCCAGCAGCATTTGTTAAAGAGGCTTTCCTCGCTCCACTTTATATTTCTTGCTCCCTTATCAAAGATTAGATAATCATATATTTCAGGGTGTGTGTAAGGATATTCAACCCTATTTGATTGGTCTGTGGATCTGTATTTGTTCCAATACCATGCTTTTTTAACTATTACTGTTTTGTAGTATAGTTTTAGGTTGGGGAAGATGATGCCTTCCATCTTTTCCCCCCCCAAGAATTGCTTTAGCTATTCATGGGGGCTTATTGTTCCATATGAATTTCAGGATTGTTTGATCAATTTCTTTGAAGAATGACGTAAGTATCCTTTTAGGGATTGCATTGAATCTGTATAATGCTTTGGGAAGTATTGCCATTTTGACAATGTTAATTGTCCCAATCCATCAGTAGGGGATGTATATCCATTTCCTCATGTCCTCTTTTATGTCTTGAATTAGTGCTTTGTAGTTTTCTTTGAACGTGTCCTTTACCTCCTTAGTTAAGCTGATTCCAACTTACTTGATTTTCTGAGACATAATTGTGAATGGGATTGTTCTGTTTATATCACTTTCTTCTCTCTCATTATTTGCATATAGGAAAACCATGGACGTTTGGGTATTGATTTTATAGCCTGCTACTTTAACGTACAAGTCTATTGTTTCTAGGAGCTTCTTGGTAGAGGCTTTAAGTTTCTCTAAGTATAGCATCATATCATCTGCAAATAGAGCTTGATTTCTTCCTTTCCTATCTGGATGCCTTTAATATATTTTTATTGACTAACTGCTGTGGCAAGTGCTTCCAGTACTATCTTGAGTAGATGTGGCAAGAGTGTGTAACCTTATCTTGCCCCTGAAGGGAAGGCTTTTAATTTTCCCCCCCATACTGCCGTAGGCATGTGGCAGATGGCTTTAACTGCATTGAGGAAAGTTCCTTCATTGTTCATTTTGCTGAGAGTTTTCATCATAAATGGCTGCTGAATCTTGTCAAATTCTTTCTCTGAGTCTCATATAGTTTTTATCTTTTCTTTTATTGATTATGTTGATTGACTCGAATGTTAAATCATCCTTGCATTCCCGGGACGATTTCCACTGATTATGGTCTATGATCTCTTTGATGAGTCATTTGATTCTATTTGCTAATATTTTGTTGAGGATCTTTACATCGGTGTTCATCAGGGATATTGGGCTGTAATTTTCTTTTTTTGTGATGTCTTTGTCTTTTGGTATTAGGGTGATAGGTGTCTCATAGAAACTGTTTGGGAGTGTTTCTGTTTCTTCAATTTCCTGGAAAAGCTTGAGAAGGACTGGCAATAGGTCCTCTTTAAATGGTTGGAAAAATTCTCTAGTGAATTCATCTGGACCTGGGTTTTTGTTTTGGGGAAGACTTTTGATTACTGTTTCAATTTCCTTGATAGTGATAGGTCTATTCAGGTATTCTAAATCTTCTTTGTTCAGTCTTGGTGTATTTATATTTTCTAATAGTTTTAAATAAAATCTTTAACATATTCTTTTTTGTTACTGTGTTTGGCATATTGAATAAGTCACGGGTAGCTTGCCAGGCTTTGCTGTGCAGGCGAGATACTCTCGGTAGCTTGCCGGGCTCACTGAGAGGGGTGGAGAAATCAAACTCGGGTCAGCCAGGTTGGTCACATGCAAGGCAAACCCCCTACCTGCTGTGCTATCACTCCAGCCCGAGAAAAATACCATTATTTTAAATAATTAAATTATTTTGTTTAAAAGTTGATAGGGTAACACCCTATCAATAAATAGGGTAAGACCATATTTGTTTCCACCCTTAAAATATTACTATATAGAAAATAACATAAATAAATGTATTATAATTAAAAATGTATTATAATTAAAAATGGAGCAATAGCACAGCGATAGGGCATTTGCCTTGCACACAGCCAACATGGCCAACCCAAGTTTGATTCCTCCGCCCCTTTCGGAGAGCCTGGCTAGCTACCGAGAGTATCTCGCCTGCACAGCAAAGCCTGGCAAGCTCCCCATGACGTATTCGATATGCCAAACACAGTAACAACAAAAGTCTCCAATGGAGACGTTACTGGGCCTGCTCGAGCAAATCGATGAACAACGGGAGGACCGTGATTGTTGTTGTTGTGATAATTAAAAAAATATAGAAGTTACTTGGTACAAAAGAAAAAAGAAACTTGTGAAATTTAATAAAGTACAGAGAAATAGCTATTAATTTCACATTTGTACATAAAATATGTCTAGGAATGTCTATACAAAAACCTATAGGCATAATCCATCTGTCTAAGAAAATTAGATTTTGTTAGAGAATTATTTTTGTTACTTTAAACCAAACTCAAAGTATGTTTTACTAAATAACAAGAATAATTAAAAATCTTATGAACTGGATTACTAACCACATATTGCAATCTTGATGGATTAACATCACACAATGTAATAGACAAATCTTATAATTGCTTTTTTTTAACAATAATAAGTGTGAAAGCTTAATTGACTTACCACTATTTCTGTTGTAATTTCATGTTTGCTGAATTTATAAATTATGACATATGCAGAGACTCCTGATACACAGAATATTCTGCTCTCTGGACACCAGTAAATCATCTGAATGGCATATGGATCTTCCTCTACAATTTCACATGTCTGTTTTCCTTCTCCTGGCTTCTGTTTTTCAAATACTTTTGAAGTTTTTAACTTGTACAGCATCTGCAAAGTTACTAAAAGATATTGAACTATGGTTAGATTCTAATTGGGACTTAATTATTAGATATTTTGAATGCTGACTTATTTTTACAAAAGTAAAACCCAAGTAAGCAAAATAAATTGCATTTAATATTATATTATAATATTAGTAGAGTTTAGATGGAGGGAACTCCAAGGGAAATATAAGCATTTATTGGATATACATTACTTATAAAAAGGAATATGTATGTTATCTTTATCCAGTGTCTCATGTGATCTTCAGAAAAGTTCTGTAAAGTGAGAATTTTAATATTCATTTGTTGATAAAAAACATAATAATTCAAGAAGTTTATAATGTAAATACTGAACCAAATTCTCTCTTTCGGAAAATCCCTCAATCTCTTTTCAATTTTCCTCTTTGTTTGTTAGATGAGAAGTTGATGTTGTTTTTACAGAGTTTAGTTCTACCCTCCAAATTTTACATATTCCTTCATACGATTAAATCTGTAATATATCAGTAACAATATCATGAGACCAGTAATCTATCATTATTTTACGAAGAATATTTTCTGAGTAGTTGTTGAGAGTAGGATTATTTAAAATTTTATGAAATTTTGTATTTTCAGTTTTTTCTATTTAGCTGAATATCTTGTGTATTCAAGACCTTAATGACAACATTCTTATAACAGAAGTTCTAATACTGTAAGAAATCTTAAATCCTAAGAAAATTCTAAAGATCTGAAAATCCCAGTCAAAAAGTACATAATTTGAAATGAATCTAAAACATCTTAGTCAAGTACTACCACTATCACTATCTCTCTGGCTCCTTTAAATATATCTCTTTAAATAAAATGATTTTACTTCACTTAAAATTTACTTATATGTTTATATTTTGGGGTCTACTTCCAGAATGGTTGGAGGCAAGACGGTTACCTTCTCATACTTGGAAAGGTTGGCATATGACTCTGAGGACCAAACTTGGGACTTCATATATACTGGGCATGTACTTTAGTCTTTTGAACTATCACCCTGGTTCCTATATATGTTTATATATTTATGCATGTATTTGTTTGTGGAGGGGAGAGAAAGTGGGAGGCAGGATAAGGAATAGAGGGAGGGATAGGTTTTTAAATGAGAAAGAAATTGTACTAGGTCTTAGAGACTTGCTTGTTAGCTGAATGCGATATAACACACATGATTATTTCATGAAACATGGTAATGGTAAAAGAACGTTGCAAATATGATAAGTCATTAAGGAGCTGATTTTGAGTTAGTCAACATAGGTTCTTCTTTAATGAGCCTTATGTAATCAGTCGAGCCATTCTATTGAGGAATTGGACGGTGCTGAAGACAGGATACTTCCTTGCTTGGCTTGGAAGAAATAAGTCACCATGCATGAGTTTTAAAGTACCCCTCTCTCCCCAAATAATTCTACCAACAATCACAGGAACTTGTAAGGGAGTCCTGAGCCTTAGATAAAAGTGCTGCCCTAGGGGCTGTAGAGAAAATTCAGCCAGTAAGGTGTTTGCCTTCCATGCAGCCAATCCAGGTTCAATATCCAGCACCCAATATGGTTCTCCATGTCCCAACAGGAGTGATCAGGGATCACTGAGCTCAAAGCCAGAAGTAATCTCTGACCACATCTGAGTCATGGCACCGACCCCAAATATGCAACTCTAGCCTGAAAAACCCTGAAAAAAAGAACCCAGCTAAATTCTACCAATTCCTGGCACCGAGAAATTTGGGGCTTATATGGAAATTGTTTTAAGGTGTCAAATTGTGGTAATTTATTATTAGATAAATAATAATCACATAATAACATAAAACTCAATTATTTAAATTCATTACAAACCTACTTCTTGTACTTAAGAGTGTTCTGCAAAATTATCAAACTAAGTGGTATCTCTTCAGTCCATCAAGTTAGAAATAAAACTTGGAAACTGATTACGGTAGGAATATTAAACATGCAGAAACCTTGGCATTACATTTTCTCAGTGTGAAAAATAATATTTATCATCTGAGTTATTAAAATATGATGCTTGTATAAGTGAATATATAGAGTGTAAAAGTGCCTGCAAATAGTTTAGAAGCTAATTGGTGACTCTGAGGTGGCAAAAACCAAACTATTTTTAATTATTGTAAATAATTTTCCTGAAAAATAACTACTTATAAAAATTTTTACCAAAAGAAAGTCTGTTACCTTTTAGAATTTCCTCTAGAACAAATAATTGGTCCTAATTCTGTGAAGTCAGTGAATAGTTTATATATTTTAATTATTTCATTTGTTCCTGTGTTATAGAATTCTAATTTATAGATTGATACTATTTGCCTTCTGATTTTCTGTTTATCATATTTTTCTTAGAAACTATTCACTTCCAAACTTCAAATATAACTTTGATGCTAATTTTAGACCATTTTCCTTTCCAAATTCTAATTTTTTACTTAGACTTACTGACATTATAAAATCCAAATCTCAGGAATATTATTTTATTTCCAAAAGAGATACTTACATCTTGCTGGTTACTCATCTTCATAAAATTAAAAATAACCTTTTATTATTCTTCTCTCTGTTTCCTGATTATCAAGATCTTAACTATCTTTTAAAATACATATTAAATGTTATCACATTAAAATTACTTCCTAGATATAGCTGGTTCAAATAAGCTTCTCATTTCTGATGACAAATAGAACTTAGTTTGTATTATATTGTTTACTCTAAAGTAATATGTAAATCCACTCATAATTCTTAAGAAAACGAAAGTTTTAGTCACTAGAAAACATAAAAGCAATCAAATCTTAAATATATTTAAATATCTTTCAATACTGAGTAGAAGTATCAATTTTATTGTTTAAATTACATAATTTTAAGAGTTTAAAACTTTTTTAAATGGTTTTTTGTTAAATCATTTTTTAAAATTCTCATAAGACTTCATAGAATAGAAGGAATTAAAATGAAGGCAAATGGGACAAAAGTTCTTCTCTGAAACAACACAATTAGGAATTAAAATTTTCTGAACAGAGTTAATGTAAAAGAGTTGCTTGCCATTGCATCTTGCTGCTTGCATACATAGTTGTTTGCTGACAAAACTGATTTGAGTTTATATACAAACAGAAAAAAGTATGGCATAGATAAATTTAAAACTAATTTAATAAGATAAAAATGAAATTTTGTCACATATTTATATATGTGTACTAAATTTGGTGGGCGTGGGGTAGGGGTCGAGGTGTTAGGCCATACCCAGCTGTGCTCAGGGCGGTACTCAAGGAGGTCCCTGGGCACCATACGCAAGCCAGCATGCATCTTACTAGCTGAACTATCTTTCCAGCCCCACTCTATGTGCTAAATATGTATCTGAAATAATTGTCCAAAGTAAAAATTGGTAAATAACTATAAACCAAATGTTTCCGTAACAAAAGAGAAGCTTAAAACTTACTTGCAGAAGCATCCCAAAATTTTACTGATCCATCTGCATGGCTAGATGAAAAATAAGTCAACATTAAAGTGCAGTTTTGAAAATGATATGATAAAATATGTTTAAAAGTTGATAAAAAAACTATTCCAATGAAAACTGCTTTAACACCTTCTAAATTCAAAATAAGTTGATTTCAAATTAAAACACCAAAATCTAAATTTAGGAAAAAAATAATAAAAACTTAAATTTTACTGTAAAAAATTTATGTGTAATAGCAATAAAAACTGGCATACAAAAGATTAAAAATATTTTTAATATAAAATTATTAAAGCTCAGCTTAAAATTCTTGAGTCAATATTTATTATATCTAACATAATACATTTTGAAATAAATATCATTAAATAATTAAAGTTAAGGTTTAAAAGAGAAGAAAGGAATTCCTTGAATTGTATCAGATTTGATAATAGCGTAATAACATCAAGTCAAATAGCATTGCAAATTTAAGAAATCGTTTTTTGTGGTTTTTTTTTTTTTTTGCTTTTTTGGTCACACTTGGCAATGCACAGGAGTTACACTCAGGAATTACTTCTGGCAGTGCTTGGGGAACCACATGGGATGCTGGGAATTGAACCAGGTCAGTCACGTGCAAGGCAAACACCCTACCTGCTGTACTATTGCTCCAGCCCCAATTTAAGCAATTGTTTAGAAAACATCGTAGCTAGAAAACTTTACAGTTTGTGTTGTGAAGTATTAGGTTTGGTTATCCTGATACCAATAACAAGTTAAGCATTACACACACGCAAAAAAAATTGCAATCCAATATTTCCATGTACAGACATAAATATTATCAATAAATATTAACAAATTAAATCAAGTATATAGAAATATAACATTCATGAGTAAGTATAATTTATCCCAGAAATACAAGAACAGTTAGACTGAAGAAAATTGATCATCATATTAAGAAAATCAATCACCATACTGCAATCATAATACCATTTTAACAATTTTAAAGTATTAGAATAAAAGTGACTTTAAAATTACATCCACAATGTTGACTCTTTATATAGTTCTAGAACATTTTCATCTCTCTAAAAAGAGAATTAATATCCTTTAATCAACATTTTTAATACTCTTATTTACCAGTAACTAAGGATTTTCTAAGTTTTTCATACAACTGGAATCATCAACATATGGTCTACTGTACCTGGCTTCCTAACAGCATGTAATTTGATCTCCAACTATTCTGTTTTCTCCTTTACACTCATTAAGACCTGTTTTTCAAACTAGAGCCATTCTGGGGCCAGAGTGGTAGTACAGTAGGTAGGGTGCATGCCTTGTACCCAGAAACCTGGGTGAGACCTTTGGCACCAAATATGATCCCCTGATTCTGCCAAGAGTGACCGCTGATTTGCAATCAGAATCAGGAGTAAGCCCTGAGCACTGCCAGATGTGATGCAAAAACTGAAATAAAAAAATAACTAAGCAAATAAATAAACTATAGTCATTTTTGACTAGGACCCACAGCAAACAGGTGCATTGCATCTCATTGTGAGTAACGTGAGAGGCTTGCTTTCCTCTTCTTTTGTACCTTCAGTATGTTTTTGATGCTTCATGGTACTATGTTGGTTTGCATAAATCCAGATAAGTCTTTCCTCTCTGTAATAGGGTCTACTCCTCATGCAGACAGGAAAAACCAGCTATGGGACTCCAAAGCCCTCTTCCAGAGAAATAGTCAGGGGATCTGTCTAAATGACAGGAGCAGGGATTTAACAGGTATTGTTTCAAGTACCCTACAAATCTCAGGGCTACCCTAGAGGCAGGTAGCTCAAGGAAAGACTGGAAATGATCACTGCTATAGAGAATGAGGAATCTGGGACTCTGCAACAACTAACTCAGTGTGGGCCTACTTTCAGCGTCAAAGAAAAAAACCTGGAAACCAGGATTTCTCCCAGCCCAGAAGAAAGGATGGGATGGACTCCTTCCTGCCAGGACATCTCTGTGGAAAATGAGGCCCAAAACCACATCCAGTTCAACCTGAAGACTCGAGGCCATCCAGTTCTTCGTGGGATATCTATGGCCAGGTCTGGGTAACTCTGACGTGCCAGAGAAGATTAATGTTGTTATTGGTCTGTCTCCTGTCTTTAGCTGATCCCCAGGTCTTTGCAGTAAATAATGGGGTATCCCAAATGGAGAGTTCTCTAATCTTGCTGTGTTTATACAAAAGAACAAGCCAGGTTTGGTAAGCCATCTGGCAAAGTTTTAAAATGAAGGTGGAAAGAAAGCCATGTTTCTATAACTTGCTTTTTGTAAGAATCAGATTCTAATTCTACAGAGGTGATTGAATAAATGTATTAGCACAGCAGGTAGGGCATTTGCCTTGCATGTGGCCAACCCGGAACCAAGTTCGATTCCTCTGCCCCTGTCAGAGAGCCTGGCAAGCTACTGAGAGTATCTCGCCCTCATGGCAAAGCCTGGAAAGCTACCTGTGACATATTCGATATGCCAAACACAGTAACAAGTCTCACAATGGAGACATTACTGGGCCCTCTTGAGCAAATCAATGAACAATGGGAGGGTAGTAGTACAGTGCTAGTCATTTTTGTATGAAGTTGCATAAATTGCCTTAATTTTATTCTGCTTTTCCTTAATGGGTAATGGTGCTAACATCTTTGTGTGTATGTCTCTGCATGTGTGTGTATTCTTGCTATTTAGCTTTCTTCAGAAAAAATTATTCTAGTATTTTGTCCAATTAAAAATTGGATCTCTTGTCATTTTGTTTTGAGCTGCAACAGTTAATTACTAAATCAATTCTTATGAGATACATAATTTAGAAATTTCTATCAGTATTTTTATTGGATAAATTCCACTTAATTTACTTTGTATTTTTGTTGCTTATGTGTAATATCTAAAAATCTATTGTCAAAATCAAGTCATGAAAGACTTTATTTTCTTCTTAGAATTTTAAAGTTTCAATTGAAAATTTAAATTTTAATCTGACTATATTTGAGTTAACTTTTATAATAGCACTGCACTGTAACACTGTCCTCCTGTTGTTCATCAATTTGCTTGAGTGGGCACCAGTGATGTCTCCATTGTGGACTTGTTACTGTTTTGGGCATATCAAATATGCCACAGGGAGCTTTCCAGGCTCTGTTGTGCATGGTACGTAGTAGCTTATTTTATTTTTTTAACCTGTGGATAATCAATCTTCCAACACCATCTGTTGGTAACATTCTTTCTCTTACTAAATTGTTATTGTCAACATGTAAAAAATCAGTGACATATACAGTTTTTATTTCTGGACTCCAAATTATATTTTACTAGGTAAAGTCTTTAATCTTACATCATAACCTATTGTTTTGATTATTGAGACTAATAGGAAGTTGAATAACTAGAAAGTGTTAGTTCTTAAAACATTACTTTTCATGATTAATTACACAGCTTTGGGATCACTTGTAGTCACTTGGATCAATACATTTTAGGATAATATTTTAAATTTCTTCAAAATGGCAAATGGGACTGTAATGGTTTATAGTAAATATTTACATAATTTTTGTGATAGTGACATTTAAGAATATCAAGTCATGAATTGGGATTCTATTTATTTGTATCTCCCTTAATTTCTTTTGCAATATTTCATTGTTTATAGTGTAGAAGCTTTCCATCTTCTTTGTTAAATTTGTTCCATATATATATATTTTATGGTATCATAAATAGGATTGCTTAATTTTCTTTGTAGATTATTCATTGTTAGTATATAGAAACACAATGATACCTATAATACATCATTTGCAACTATAGTTCTTATTCTTTATTTCCACTGTGGATGACTTTATTTTTTCTTCTAACCTTACATCTTTACTTAGAATTTTTAGTACAATTTTAAATATAAATAGTAAAAGTGAAGATCCTTGTTTTATTCTGAATTGCAGAGGGACAGGTTTTGTTATTTTATCACAATTATATATTTATTGTATATTAGTTGTGGTTTTTACCAGAAGAAATTTCCCTTTCCAGGTTAAGAAAATTCTACTTCAATGCTGGGTCTTGCGCATTTTGATGTGTGTGTGGGGGGGGGGGAGGGTGGAGGGAGGTGGGCGGAGGGGTTACCAGTGTTTCATCTATACCAGAAATTTGATACTATACAACCCTGTCATCTAAATTACTCTGTGTATATGTATTATTTTTAGAAAAAAAAACAGAGGAGTAACTAAAAGAAAAGAAAATTTCATTATACCCCTAGTTTTCTGAGTGTGCTTCTGTTATGATTTAGTTAATTAATTTATTCATTTTAGGAGGGTGGGTCATACAAAGAATGCTTAGGAATAACTCTGGACTTCTTGAGAATCATAAAGGGTGCCAGGAATCAAATGAAGCCTGGGAAGTTGCATTTAATGTGAGGACACTATCCATAGTACTATTTTTCTGATTCATGATGCTATAATTTTAAATAGGTATTTGATTTTTTCAGATATCTTTTCTGCATGAAATGATCATTTTTTTGTCCTTCATTTCATTGACATGAGTATTACACTAATTTTTAATGTGAAAACACTGTTTTCCTAGGATAACTCCAACTTGATCTTGGTTTATAACCCTTCTAATGTGCAGCTGAATTCGCTATTTTTGTTGAATATATGTGCCACTATATTCATAAAATATATTATTGAATAGTTATTTTATGGTATCTTTGGCTCTGGTATTAGGGTAAAGCTGGGTTCAAATAATTATTTAGGAAGTATTTCCTTCTATTTTGAGGACAAACTCGAGAATCATTGTTACTTTAAATGATTGGAGTTCAACATGAAGTTATCTGATCCTTTCTTTCCTTTGATGGGAGATTGTGATTCAATGTCTTATTAAAATGTTCAGATCATCTATTTCTTTTTGAGTCAGTTTTGGTATTCCTCGTGTTTCTCAGAAATTTATTTATTTTATCAACATTATCTCAAACAACTACCCATTGTATGTTCTTAGTTTTATAAATTGATAATAATATATTCACTTTAATATAAGATTTTATTTTGTCTTTAAATGTGATTTTATTTTTATTTTCTCC